AAAAAAAAAAAAAAAAAAAGTCAACATCACGGCCCCTGCCACCACCCCATCATCACTAGCCCATTTTGCCATCACCAACAACAACAATAAATTAGTCATTATGATAATAAGAAAAAAACATTAGTAACATTCATCAAACATGAAAAAAATAATAAAAATAAAAAATCAATGAAATGTCTCTAGTTGGAAGGACACTTATAAATACAAATTTGTTAATAATAATTTTTTATTTCTCAAAGAGAGATGCTACATGTACACCAAGATTTTACACCTTGGCGTACAGTCCCCTCACAATGGGGGCTCCGCACTTTTTCTATTGGGCGTGAGCCTCCCTATTGTGAGGAGGTTGTACACCAAGTTGTGAAACTTGATGTACAAATAGTCAAATTCTTCCTCAAAATGAGAGGATTAAAGGTGAGTTGAATATTTATAAATTATTTATAAGCATGAGTCAAACGTATGCTGGTTCAATTCTCTTTTAATTTAAAAGAAAAAGAAGAATAAAATGATAATAGTTACTTCGCCTCTGTTTGGACTTCATTACAATGAGATTTTATTTTTAAAAAAATATGTTTTAGAATAGTGATTTTTTTAAGGACATGTGATTAAAAAATAAGAAAAAATTTTAAATTTTTGTATAATATTATTTTAGTAAAGAATATTTGATGAATTATACAGAAATATATTTATTGAAAAAAAGAGCTTAAACTCGTGGCTACAAATGTTTCATACGGGACGGGACCATAATGTCGATATCTCGGTTTATGGCTGCGGCCACGTAGGACGACAGGCGGCTGTAGGATTGAGTCAATCGAGCCGACAAATGGCGTCACGCATTGAAGAATTTGTCGGGGTTGTGCGCTGTTTCTTAGCACAATTATTGCCAAACTTTACTTTTACTGCTCTGACAGATTTACCATGCCTGTCCCCATTGGATTCTGTATAAATAAAAAGATATTTTCCAATAATGAATTTTTATTTATATGAAATTTGAACATTATTTTAAATTTGCTCGAAGTATTTTTTTTTAGCCCATGATTTATGGTCATCATAAAAAGAAATTGGAAGAAGATGATGTTTTAAATAATGATTTCTTTGGAAAATATGTAGTTAAAAAATAAGAATATTTTTTCGATTTACGAGCATAATATTTATGTGATGAACGCGCTGCACTATCAGGCCTGTAAAAGGCTTGGCAGTGCAAATGTGAGGTGGGAGGTGGGTATTTAAACATTTGGGGGCTTTTTTTTAATGAGGACCCACCTCATGTGAGAATTTTTGCTCTATCAGACCTTTTATAGGCCTGGTAGAGTAGGTTAATTCTTATGTGATTGTGTGGTTGAAATGAATATGAGAAATAAAAACTTATAATTTAAAACGAGTTAAACAGGCGCTTAATCAAATTTAAACCATGTTTGAGCCACATTATTTTTCTCATTCTCATTCTTCCATTCATTTTCAACCACACATTTTTAATAAAATAATATTTTTCATAATATCAATAATTTTTCCTTCTTTTTCAACCACATATTCCCCCTCAGATCAACAGTAAAAATGTACTCTTACTTCTAAAATGTTCAAGCAAGGGCTTATTCATTATCATTGTGTTTCTCTACAAATAATTCTAAATTTTGTATTATTTAGAGCATTTTCAAACTCTTTATATTTAACACTCAATTTAGAAGGTTAAAATTTTTGAAATACTTCAACAATCTCTTTATATTTAACACTCAATTTTACTACTCACAAAAAAATATTTATTATTGTTCTTTATCTTTTATTTTAATTAGCTTTTTTTTTAAATTATTTTATTGTTTTCCTGTATTGAAAATTAAAAAACTTTAAATACATTTAATTATAGAGAATGAATAATTTCGAGAGTCAAACAAACTCTCTAAATTAAAATATTAATTTAAAGTGTCTCTTTGAGCATGATTTTAAAGATTGATTCGTTAAAAAAATAAGGGTAAATGGCGCAAAACGTCC